TTATTTATGTATATGTAAACGTCAAATTTGTAGGTTTGAATCTATACAATTTATAATGTTAAAAAGGAAAAAAGACCTATATAACTTTAACCCTATCCGTACGCCTTGGGGACATTTTGTACCCCCGTGGTCGTATTCTTCACATTTTAGAATACTTCTACTTCTAGTGCGAAGATCTCTTTGAAACGTTCATTATTTCTCAAAAAATCATTTTGACAGACTGCTATGCCAAGCGTACGGATCAGATTAACGAGTAAATTTCTTCTTTGGAAAGTGATGGCACAGAGTTCCACACGTCGTATTGATACGATACTAAAACACAACGTTATGATAGGGTTAAGAAAATCGCATTAGTTTAAAATTTACTAAATAAGATGTGTCTATTTTCGCCAACATTTCCATTCGTGAATTGTGAGATCCGACTCATTTTCTCAGCACACCTTATAGAAATATTATGCCTGTGTATACTTTTCTTAAACTCTCCTCTCTTTCTGATGTTCTGATACACTATTGATTTTCTTTTAGTTTTAGGGTTTTCTCCCCAGCTGTTTGACTTAAAAACTCATAGCCTTCAAATAAATAGCAATTTTTATCGGTGGAAATGAATAAATTAATTCACCCTTATAAGTGTGAGGTTTAACTTTCATGAAATTGAAGATGAAATTCACTTTATTTTCTTTTTGTCTATATTATATTTTGTTCATCAAATGACATTATTAATTCCCCCCACCCTGACTAGGCCCAGTGACAGAAATATATGCAATGCTTGACTCTTGATAAGAGATATGTGCATGACCAATACTTTTTCATTATATGAAAACTTTATGGACGTTTGATAGGAAAGAAGAAGCAAACCACACCAGAGCACCCGCCCACCACCCACTCTACAAGTGGTGGATAGCTGGAAAGAACAATTGGTTGCTTTTAAGCGCAAGGGGGCTATCCCAAAAAAAATGCTGTTTTGAGAAAATCGAAGGTAAAGAGATATACACACCAATGAAACCAAACTTATGCTATAGGTAGTGCAAAGCCCACTTTTGGTAAAGATCAAGATTTCTGGAGACCCCCAAAATCAGGGTTAGCCCACTTGTCCTTATAAGCGACCAATTGAGGCGACAGAGCTGTGATTCATAAAATGCATGCTGCGTATCCCATGGACAGCTAGAAAAACAAGTGGAGAAGTCTTGGTTGAAGCAAATTGCAGGCGACAGCTTACGACGAGAAATACGAAAGTGACCGGAAATTTTCATTGGACACACAATGCGGAAAGAATATATTATAAATATTGAAACAACAGGCAAGTTTGATGGAAAGAGAGGAAGAGGC